AAAATGTCTGTCTATGTATGTGATGTATGTATGTGATGTATGTGATGTATGTATGTGATGTATGTGATGTATGTATGTGATGTATGTATGTGATGTATGTATGTGATGTATGTGATGTATGTGATGTATGTGATGTATGTGATGTATGTGATGTATGTGATGTATGTGATGTATGTATGTATGTATGTATGTATGTATGTATGTATGTACGTATGTATGTACGTATGTATGTGCGTATATATAATGCTTGTGATGTTACTCTGAGTGTATATCCACACCGGGCAAGCTTGAAAAACATGCCTAACCACAGTGGGAATCGAACCTACGACCTTTGGAATACTAGTCCAATGCTCTAGCTGCCAGCTCAGCTACGCTACATTACACCAACACAGAAAAAATCATGATTATTAGATTACATTGATATCGAAGGAACAAGATTCTGTTCTGAAATATCACATACTCGAGCCGACCAGACCGCGTAGCTCAGTTGGCAGAGTATTGGACTAGTATTCCAAAGGTCGTAGGTTCGATTCCCACTGTGATAAGGCATGTTTTTCAAGCTTGCCCAGTGTGGATATACACTCAGAGTAACATCACAAGCAACATATTCACCTGAGTACATTACACCAACACAGAAAAAATCATACGTATATATATTTTTTCAAAATTACTTCACCAATTAACTTATTAAATCAATAATTTTTAAGGCAATTTAAAAATTTGCAGTGTGTGTTTTATCAGACCTATCATCTTGTATCTTTATATCTGATAAAACACTGCTGATCATGTTTTAACTAGTACATAAATGTGCTCTATATTTGCCTTATTAAATAATTACTAACAGGCCTTTTGTGCTTTCATTACCTTGGGTAGGAATGGCTTTTTTGCCTGCCTTGCAACATTTGCTTGTGTATTTGGTGCACTGTTTAATCATGCAATGCAAAAAAAAAAAAACAGGTGGTGCACTTTGGCATGGTACAAACGATTTTCTTATATCTGGCCAGCCCAGGTGAATGTTTGCTCAGCCACTTCAGAATTATCGTCTTCATGAAGGTATTTCTCCGGATTGTATCCTACCTTGCAGCTTTCATCTATGTGGTTGCCAAAATTAAATCTGTCAAGCACCTTTCCAATGACTTGCCACATTGTATTCCAAGGTTTAGTCAATGGAAGTTCCTGTCATACTGCTGTTAGGCCATCTAAGTGGCACATGTTGTCATAGACAAGTACAGCATTTCTCCAAAGGTTTACTGGAATTCCCTTTACAACATTGCACAACCAGGTTATCACTATCAAGAAAACTTGTGACAGAGATTCTGATCTATAAAATCATTTGAAAGACTAATAAAATTAATTCTCACTGCATGATAGCTAATATATTAACGTTGACAACATATATGTATTTGTGGATCTATATTGCGTGGGCATTAATAATTTAGTACTTATTTTTTAATATAAATATGCCTATACATATACATGCATACACAATATACAACTTATATAGTGCATATCTGTGGGGGGCAAGTGCATGGTTCCCATAACTGATTGTTTACTCTTGATTCCAGTTAGCCTTTAAAAATATATTAAAACAAACTTTATACAAATTCTGCCACAAGCACCTGGATTACAACTGCACTACAAAAGTTTAAGAGGTTAGGACACAAATGTTTGTATGTGATTTCGAAGGCAAATTGGAATAGAGTCTCGAGAGCAACTGAAACGATTTGTTCTAAACATATACACACAAGTGGACCACAAGTAACCACAGATGGACCAACGAATGATCGACCATGAGTAACCGGAGATGGACCGCACATAGAGATTAGGGGGCCCAGGAGAAATTGTTATTTTGTGTCGTATTTTAAAAAGTTTAAAAAATTGGGGGTCATTTGCAATAAAATAATGGAGAAAAACAATTCCCACATATTAAACTGGATTAAAAAGGATTTTACTGAATTATTCTAATTTTACTGTTAAAAATTCACTTGAACTGTAGAAGTTGCAATGACCTTTCAATGCCTGAAGGTCCTCTCCCAAAAATATTAATTTTTGAAGCTCGATTACTGCTTTTTAAGGGCATATATTCGGAAACTTTGCATTAAAGTCGTAATTGTACACTTATATTTTAGAACGGTCATATAGTGAATGGATTTAGAACTTCACATTTTGTGTAAAGTTTCCACAATGATAATAATGACTGAACTCGACTCGAGCACATTTTTCCATGCAAGTCAAGAATTCAAACCCAAAAAATCTGGTGTCTCGCAAGTGGTCCACGGGAGTGGTCCGTGGTCCACAAATGTAGTCCATGGACCAGGTCCACGAAGGTAGTCCACGGACCTGGGGTCCACATTTTGTTGTTTCCCATACCATAGGACAGTTGAAGAGAACTTACTTGTACAATGGTTGAAAAGTGTCTGTGTGCCCTCCTGCATGGACAAATTGATGACCACATGACCAATGGCGCATATGCTTTTGTTCTCCTAGGTTTTTACACCATGCTGTAGAGTTATCTTCCTCGCAATTATCCAGAATTTGTACCAAGGTGCCTTTATTGCAATATTCGAATTTATCCATACCTACAAAAAGCATTGTGCACATTTAGTTCAATTTGTTATATGCTTAGTTATGTCGTATCTCGTTAACGTATATTGAGGAGAGTTGTATCACAATATTCGAAATTTCACATGAATGAATGTTAACTCCAAAATGTGGTCTCTAATGTCTATGTCACAAGTATGTTCTAGTAAGCACGTTGTACTAATATTAGATTGGTTTGTCATAACAGTGTGCAATAATGGGCTATATATTTCTTACAAGACAACTGTAATAAGTTCCTTGCAGGTTTGCATTGCAATAAATCAAATTTATTTGTTTTTGTGAAAAATACCATGATTCCCTTTTTGTTGTGTTTTTCACCAAAAAATTAACGATGCAACTACAGACTATACATGCACTATATCTAAAATGGAACTCCATCGTGTATATGTTGTAATCCCAATGGCAGAAAACAACAAATGGACTGTACTAACAATTGAAATTCTTGACTGTAAACCAATAAGATTACATTCGGGTTGAATGGTGCACAGATTTTTTGAACTCGATAGATGATAGACAAATGAACACAGACACAGTTTGTAAATAAGGTTATACTTTATAATACGAATCCAAAATGTTCACGAGAATAGAAGATATAGTCGTATACAATTGGTTATCGGTTTGAACTAAATAACATGACAATGAAAAATATCTACTTAAACTATCTGCAAGTACGTGGAATATAATGTGGATAGAAATAATTTACCAACAGCTATCACAATAGCGTCCACAGATACAAAACTTTGTCCTTACACAACAGAACATACCAGAGGATTGACCTTCCTAGAGTCACACAACTATAACTAAAATTCGATCCTGTAGGCACAGCTAGATTGACAGGCTTTGATTGACATTAGATAAGCTGCATAATTTGTGTCGCGTCAAGGTGATGAAGCTTATATACAATACATTCGTGTTTTAAAACTAACATATGTGAACTGTTAAAGTTGAATATACATTACTGTTTTAATGTTGGTATTTTCTTCTGTTATTAAGTTGTTTGACAAACCTTGAGACTTAAAAACGTCTTGCCCAACATCTGGAGATGGTATGGATTGCACCACTCTGTCAACAAACTCTGACAATTCCTTTGATTCCTCACCTTCATTGTCGGGGATATTACCTAAAGTTTTAACATTTATGCTGTTGAATCACATTGTAAATACCAAAAATTTCTTTATAACAAATGCACAAGTTATACAGTTTCTTTGAGCACTCTGTTGTACAGCAAAACATGCCGTTTGCAGATGGCGCTATCAAAATCAGACAGTGCATTCATTCTAGCCATAAAATAACGATCCTGGGTATATAGATAATTTATATATGCCCTTAAGGGATCTGGTAATGAAAGAGCAAATTTTGCGGTGCGAGATTTAATAATAGTCTTTCGTCCGGAAAGTTTGGAAGTATAGAAGCAAAACAACGAAGTGTAGAAAAACAAATGGAAGGGATTCAAACTTGGAAAACTATTTCAAGCCAAGAAAATAAAATGAAACTTCTGAACCAGCAAAAAACATAACAACTCGTTCAAATACAGTAGGCCGAGTTAGTCCATATGTTCGCATCTCTTGTGTTGACCCTAAATTTTAAACAAAGTTGTTAATTCAATTGTTAGAAATTGGGCAAAACAACAAAGAAAGGATTGGAATGTTGTAAATTGTGCAAAAAAGGTAAACAGAGGCAATCATATAATATGAAATATTTTGTTGTATTTATCTTCTGTACATGAAAATATGCACTGTTTATTATTAAAACTACGTACAGCCTTAACTTTTATTTCACACTATTTTCAAGATAATACAAATACAAGAGATACAAATTGATTTACAGATGGATAAAAATATACATAGAATTAGAAATAAATAAAAATTATAATAAATAAAAAAAAGTAATAATACTACTAATAATAATAGTAAAATCATTCAATTTTGAGGTTGTAAATTTGGATATGTTTCACTGTCTCTCTTCCTAATGATATGAAAGGCTTATCTTAGCATGAGAAAGCTTCTATGAAATTTATAGCCTTGCAGTGCAAAATTTTTTTTCAAAATTCCCAAGTATATGCTATAGAGTCAAAATTTGCTACACATATACCTAATATGTATATGCAAATTTTGCTTATGTGGGCATGTCCTTATGATTAACTTGCTGACAAGGCTTGGTGTTAAGAACATAAACCAAGGACTGAGGATGGTACTGCCTCACCGCTCATTACATAGCATTAAAGGTGTACGGCACACAACAAATAAAAGGTACCAGAATCTACTCCTTGAGTTTCGCCGAGAACCGGAAGTAATCCGCTCCAGTGCAGGAGGACTTGGCTCGCGGTGGCACTCCTCTTGAAGGGGAAATTTTTCCCAGAATAGGGTGTAGAACTGCAAGTGAGTTCTGTGATCAATATCATGAATCATGGTTGGGCCAAGGTGAGGGAGGAAATCAATAATTTCTCCTTTCTCGGTGGCCTGGAAGTGGACTTAATAAACCCGAGCTGTCTGACTGACGAAGTTCGCCAGTTAATTGACCAGGATTTCGCCTTCTGGATGGAATCGATAACTGCAAGGAATCTTGTAGGAGTCGTACAACGAAGAAGATTTAAACGGAAACCAGGTCAAGGCCAAAGGGTATCGACACGAGACACAGGGGCAATCGCTGTCACACCCGGAGGCCCTGTTAGAAGTAGCAATAGAGGAAGTGGGAGACCGCGGACAGGGCTGGCACAAAGGAAGAGAAACGCTTTGTATAAAACGATGCAGGATTTGTTTCGTAAAAACAAAGCCTGGTGTGCACAAGAGGTGTTGAGTGGTAGTTGGGATCAGCCTTAGAGGAATTAGAACCGTTTTGGAGGGATGTATTGGAGAAGGAGTCTGAGGTGGATGACAGGGTGCCTGACCCTATTGGGCCTGTCCTTTGGGATCTGATAGACCCAGTCACCCTGGAAAGAAATGATTAGCACCTTAAAGGCAATGAAAGCTGGTGCTCCGGGCCCAGATGGGATGGTTCTGAGTCAACTGAAAAAGCTCCCATTGGATGAGCTTAGGGCATGTCTCAACCTGTGGCTGCTAGCCGGATATAGTCCCACTGCATGCTGCATGGGGGAAACGGTCCTTATTATGAAAGATCCAAACGACATCAGACCTCCAAAACATCACCTGATCACAATGGCCAATATGGTCATAAGCATGTTCCATAAGCTTATGGCTAAGTGAATGGGTGACTCCTTGCCTCTCTCTGACAGGCAGAAGGCATTTCGCTCTGGAGATGGGATCGCTGAGAATGTTGTTCTTTTACGGGCTATAATAAAACATCATATGGATAATAACCTGCCTCTCAATGTGGTCTTTCTTGACATTGCTAAGGCTTTTGTCTCATCAGAGTATTTTAATTGTTGCACGGAGAATGGGTATCCCGTCGCCCTTCCTCACATATTTAAGCGAATTTTATTCGCGAAGCCAAACCCATATTCGGGTATCAGGCCGAAAGAGCGAACCGATATATGTGAGGTGAGGTGTGAAGCAGGGAGACCCAATGTCTGTGCACTTGTTTAATGCTGTAATAGACTGGGCATTATCTACCTTGGATCCCGGTCTTGGTATTAAGATTGGTGATGCTAGCTTAAACCATCTTGCATTTGCGGATGATATAGGGCTGCTCACCCGTACGTCTGTTGGGGCCCAGAGCCAGATCGATAGGCTAAATGTATATCTGAATAAGTGCGGTCTGTATTTTAGTGCTGGTAGCTTGGGTAAGTCTGCTTCCTTGAGGATAGATATTGATGGCAGAAATAAGAGATGGGTAGTCAACCCACATGAGCATTTACATGTGGGCAGCATATTCCTGCTAAGTCTATAAAGCAGGCCTACAGTTATTTGGGTATACCTTTCTTGGCTAAAGGACCCATGGTAAATGTAGCAGAGAAATTGCAATTCAAGTTGGATAATTTACGTAAAGCACCCTTGAAGCCTCAGCAACATATGTATATTTTGTGGCGCCATGTTCTGACTGCTATGTACCATCAGCTGGTTCTGATGGACACCTAACTTTTTTATTCATGCACCCATCGCGGAAGGAGGAATAGGAGTGACGATTTTGGAAAATGTCATACCCATTATGCATAAAGCTAGGCTGGAGAAGCTTTTGGTTAGCAATGATCCGGCGGTTGCTGCCGTTGCTCCTATGGTCACAGACATGCTCAGTAGAGATTCTGTGGTGCAACAAGTAGGAGGTATGTCGGTGTGTGATAAAAGTAGCCTCAAACATGCTCTGTCTGCTGGATTGCATAATACGGTGGATGGTAGAGGTTTGAGGCTAAGTAGACCGGTGCCTCTTGTACATAGGTGGGTCCATCTCCCCACCCATTTGATGTCAGGTGCCAATTTCATCGGCGCTATTAAAATAAGAGGCAACCTGATGGCTACAGCTGCTAGAATGGCTCGGGGACGTACACAGCGGAGCTTAGCTTGCGATTGTTGTGGCCGCTCCGAGTCTCTTGGTCACATCTTGCAGGTCTGCCCAAGAACTAGTGGTGCTAGGAATGATAGGCATAATTCTGTTCTAGCACAGGCTGTCAAGTTCTTGATTAAGAAAAAGATTGGTCTCTGCTAGTACAACCAGCCATACCAACCCCAGCGGGGTTGCATAGACCTGATATTATTGCCTGGAAGGGAGGGGGTACTTCCTATATTATTGACGTAACTGTGGTGGCAGACAATGCTAACTTAAACGATGTTCATATGCGTAAAGTAGAATATTATGATACTGAGCATGTCCGTGACTGGGTTTTGAGGGTAAGTGGCACTGCATCGGTTACCGTCTCTTCCATAAGTTTCAACTGGAGAGAGGAGCCTTGGCAGTGCCATCTTACGATCTTTTGAAAAACAGTTTATGCCTTAGTGAGGGTAACATTCAGATATTAGGTGTCATCGTGATGGAGAAAGGTTATAAGTGCTGGCTCAAATTCAATAAAACAATGTACCGATGTCAACCATCAAGATGGGACGACATACAGGAAGATCAACTCAGTGGAAGCTTATTATGAACTCCCAGATGAACTCCTTTAATTATTGACTATCAATATCTATTATGAACTTTCTATTGCGAACTTTCACGCTAGATACATAATAAGTAATGACAGTCTTTAGTTTTTGCTACATAAGTATTCTTTATTTTAAATTTATTTATACTATTTTGTAAAAATGTGAGGGATGCATTTATCATGCCCGAATGTACAATATTTAAAGTTTTAAATATATGTATTCCATATGGCTATGTAACTATTTTTTCTAAATCAACAAAAGAACAATGTTGCTATCTCCGTCCCCCTTAGGTCGAATGTTTATTATTATTGCATGGTTATGGTTCAATTAGGTTGACTAGTAACCCTGCAAAAGCCCTGTCCTTTGTAGATAGATTAACTTATGACACTGCTGCAATTTTGGTTATATGATCAATTTTTTAATTTTTTTATAATTCATAACTTTTTTCTACTGTCATCATGTCTACACCAATCGGTGATATGCGGAGCGAAGAGCTCGAAGATAGGGTGAAAGACCTCGAGGGCTACCTGCGTGGCATTGAGAATGGCGAAGGTCCACAGGAACGCGTAAGACGTATAACCTGGGGCCGGTTGTATCAAAGGCGTTTAAGTCGCTAACCACGGTTTAACTCGCTATCCGCCGGATAAAATTTAAACGCTCGAGAAATCGCGTTGTATCAAGCCTGTTTAGGGCTACCCACCGGTTAAATTTTGCCTATCCACTGTGTAAACTTATACGGTCTCTTGAGACCGTTTAAATCGCTATACAGCGGATAAACTCTGAGTTTGAAGATAAAACAATGATTATTTCGGATGAAAAAGCATGGGATAGTTATAAAAATGCACAATCATGTAGAGGAGTTATCTTTTTAAATCCAATAAACATGAAAAACTCACTTTTAACTGGCTTGGTCTTGAGGTCACTTGCTCACTTGTAATTCAGTGGCTTTGCTATATTTACGCACACCAGTGTCATGTTTAGATGTTAAGTATATATACTCCGGCTTTTTCTTCTATTATATAGTTTGAGAACAAGCAGTAAGACTCCCAACTTTAGCTATTATAAAACAAACAATGACTTTGGAAAGCCAACAAGTATACAAAATAGACAACAAGACGCCGAAAGTCGAAAAAAAAAAACAACAAACTTTATTGCAAAAGCTTAGTGGAATCCACAAGTTAGATAAAGCTTCAAAAGTTTACAAAGGCCTAGCAACAGCTGACGTAGAGGTAGGAAATTTCAAGAAAATCCGGTTTTCTCCGGTTAAATTAAAGGTTATCCTACGGATAGTTAAACGCGGTACTAAACGGGCTTCGTACAACGCAATTTTATCGGCCGTTTAACTATCCCCTGGATAAGAAATTTATACGCTGGATAGCGGCTAAACACCGTTTAAGTTAAACGCCTTTGATACAACCGGCCCCAGGGTGGTAAAGCTAGAAGACCAGATCTGGATTTTAATTGCCCAATGGGCAAGTTTTCAGATTACTAACATGATCTTGTATCAAGTGTGCTAATGGTCTTGTTCAGGCATACCGGAATGCATTCGGCAGACTACATATCAAAAGTCTTATTGCCGGAGGTTCTAATCAAGGTATATATGGACATTAGAGGGATCGATTATTGTCAGGCCAAGGATGAGCTTTTTGTGATGGACATCACAAAGGTTAGTTACATGTGCTAAGTTCATAAGGGGTGTGAAGGAGTAGCCCAAAATAATATGTTTTTAAACACTGTGTTTTAGGAACCGTTCCTAAGCAAGTTTACATGAAGAGAGGATGACGAAGTTGTACCGCCCACAGAACATCTGGAGAGTGAGGAGAAATCGGCAGGAAAGGTTTGAAAGAGTTGGCAGGAAAGGTTTGAAATTGTTATATCAATTGTGCTTTTCATATCGGTCAGAATATTATTATTTACCCACAGCCTACTCACCTCACAGCCTACTCACCTGCCAGCATACTCACGTGGTCAACTAAGATGGCGGAGCTTTGTAAGCTCTGTATTTTTTATGTTATATTTCGTTAATATTTCGTTGTATTTATGTTATTTGAAGTTTATTTTGTCTCAATTATGTCAGTTATCACAGCAGAAGTTTTAAATACTATTTTTGACCAAAAATTAGAGCCATTAAATAAGAAAATTGATGAGGCAATCAGTTCAATGTCGTTCATAAATGAAAAATATGAACAAATATTAGTCAAGTTGTCGAAGTTTGAAGAAGAAAAGAAGTCTCTTGTTAATGAAAATAAAGCTCTGAATAATGAACTTCAAAGAGCTACAAACAAATTGCAAGAAATAATGAAATCGCAAGACGATATGGAGCAATATATCAGACGTGAATGTCTCGAAATCCGTGGGATACCATGCTTGAATGATCAGGAAAATACTAATAGTATTATAAAGGACATTGCAAAGGCGATCGATGTTGATATTACGGATATAGATATATCCACAAGTCATCGGCTGAAACCCAACGTTTCTTATAAAGGGAAAAGCAAGAATTCACCACCAATTATTGTGAAATTTATACGGCGTGAGACGAAAGAGAAATTATATAAAGCTCGTAAGAAGCTTAATAGATTAACCACAAAAGATCTTGGATATGTAATCGAGCAGAAAATTTTTATTATGGAAAGTCTGACCAAAAGAAATAAAGTTTTGTTCAATATGGCTTACAATTTGAAGAAGGAATACCAATATAAATTCATTTGGACGTACAATGGGAATATATATTTACGAAGAAATGAACTTAGTCCTGTCATCAACATTAAAAATCAGCGTGACATTCAGCATTTGAGGGAGTGATATTTACCAGTAAATTGTTGTGCTATTATCTATTATCTATTAGATAAGTGTTTATTTAATTGAATATTGAGGTAATGTCTACTAGCATGGAAAGTAGAATCGAGCAATATAGCTTG